TTCCTCTGCGGTAGTCTGTCATTTTGCCTCTTTTTTATACTTGCTTTTGGGCAAAATTCTGTAGCAGATAGCGTTGCTGTCGTGCTGGAGGACGAGGATTCCACTCCTTTAGTTGGGCAACAGAAGTCTGTCTACGATTCATTCATTCATTTCGATGTTATTTTGGTATAGCGGGAAGGCAAATTCGCCATCAACTTGCTTCTAAGCAGCTCTCAAAAAAGAGAATATTACCAGCGAGTGGTTGTTTTTAGCAAATGTTGTCATTTCAGCTAATTTCTTGTCTCCTTGCTTTTCGCAGTGAATGGATCATGGGGGGAGAGGTTGAATTTTGACCTACTGATGGTGATAGATATTTACTTAAGGCTTTAACAAGCCTACTGTGAGTTGGGATGTGTTTCTGTGCATGTTTTATAGCTGTATATCAGTAACACTTGCAGCGCGGATGATCTTAGTGAGATTACAGGAAGCACAGGATTCCTGGTTTGAAAAAATTAGGGGAAAGAGGGAAGGGGGAAGAAGGAGGATTGATTTTTGCATAATTTTTCAGTGGTACTGAGTAAAAAAAACTTTTTTCTAAGGCAGTATGATGGATCGTAGTGTGGCGTGGTGCGTTTACTGTGTGTGCAAATGGGTGACTAAATAAATATTGATGGCTTACTTAAAATGGAGTATGCAGAAATGGTTGACAAATAGTATACAGTGTGGCTCTTGGGGTGTGAAGATTTAATATAATGGCTTGGCAAGCAAGTGGCCTGCCAGCAACAGAACAAGGAAATAACGGGAATTTTTAACAATAAGACCTGAGTTTTCGCGTACTGGTGGCTCTCGAGCGAAGGAGCGGAAGAATTGTGTTGATGGACGTCGATGATCTTCCTAGGGCGGTGAAGTCGAAGAAGGTGCATGGTGAAGCTGGTACTGGAATGTAGAAACTCAAATCCCCTGATGAAAAGAATGGGAAGTTTACAAAGGGGAGTAAGGCCCGCCTCATAAGGTGATATAGTGGTTTTGGAGGGGTTTTGGAATGTAGGTGATAAAAGGGGACAAGAGAAGAGGATATAAGGAGGGCTAAAAAGAGATTGGAGAAGAGGTAATGGAAACGGGAAGGGTTTTTGGGGGATAAAGAAAGGCAGAACAAAAATAGTCGAAAACTTAAACATTCAGGAATGCGACAGACAGCATTTCTTTGTCATAGGCTTAAAAAATGAAAAAAAAGAAATGCTACATAATTTTATAATTTTAATTACATATTATTTACAACACTGCACTTTTTTAGAGTAACCGAGCAATTGGTGAGAAAACAAGATTGATGATAAAAAAATGGACCGAGAATGAATGCAAGCATGAACCGTCGTTGGGTTTGATTGAAACACTGTACAAGAATCTGGTCGCTGATGGGCAATCTTTTGAACCGGATAATCCACCAAAATCTAGGGTACGTCAATTTAGCTTGGTCTTGTTATCACTGTTAGGAATATTACTGTAATTTTTATTAATTTTTTAAGGACAAGTCTCAGCCCCCTCCCTTCTCGCTTCCTCTCCTTCATCCCAAATGTTCGGGGATCTGAAACTTCTGGAGCCTAAATAACAACATTTATCTTAAAGTAGATGAACGCTGCGTTTACTTGCTACAGTTATATCGCTGAACTGTGTTCCTTTTTATTTTCTACGTGAAGTAACGGCACAGTGGTACTCCCGACAGGAGCACTTTGACAAGGTTTTTAGCCAGTGAGTGCTTGAA